GCGGCTTTGCCCACTGAAATCCATTTCTCACGGCCCTGGAAATGACAGTTCCGGAAAGGGGCCACTGGGTGGGTTCCTGGTGAGGTCTCTCATCCCGGCCTCTAGGCTGTGACCTCTTACTGTGCTCACGTGTCCTGTCCTGCTGTTACAGAACAAAAGGGGCCAAGGTTCATTCTATAGGAAAGATGTCTCTCAAGGCCAGAGATTTGGGAAAAGGAAAGGAAATGTTTATTTGATGCTATACAGACTTAAAGTAGGGACCCACCGTCTTCATTTAAAATAACAAAGTCCTTTAGGATATCCACAGATGCCCACAGCACTTCCTTCTCCCCCCGTTCTAATTCAGGGTAGGTGTCTCAGGAAGAGAAGCACACGTCTGTGTTTCAGGTCACTGTCACCGTCAGCTGTGTCACCATCCAGGCAGGATCTCTAATTACTCCAAAGTCATGTGGCACCTTCTCATGGTCCACTGGCAAGAGTTCTTTTACCTTCTTCCAGGCAAAGTCTCTCCTGCTTCCCAGGCCATGCGGCCAAAGGGGGCACCCCAAAGCCACGTGGTCCTCTTCTACCAGAGCTGCGGGGGTCTGCACTCTGGCCAAAACCACATGGTTCTTTCCTCCACCAGAGCTGTGGGGACAGGGGGGTCTCCACTCTGACAAAGCCGAGTGGCAATTCTCTGCTAAAGCCACATGGTGGTTCCCCCTACTAAAGCTGCAGGGGTCCCTGCTCTACCAGAAGCGTGGCTCTCTCTCACGTGGCGGGGGTCCGCACTTCAGTGAAACCACATGGACTCTCTCTCTCACGTGGCTGTGGGGGTCTACACTGCCAGAAGCACGTGTCTCTCTCCTCACTGCCACAGCCACATGGTCCTCTCTCACATGGCTGCCATGTCTGTGTTCAAATCCCCAAGCCATCTTCCTCTGCAGCCCCATTTCCAACTCCCCCCACAGTCGACTACACCTGCCAGGACTCCCGTATCCTCCCAGCTGTACTGGGCTGCCATAGCGACTCTGGGCAGGTGGGGCCCCATGGCACGGAGCCAATCTTCTCCAACCTCTCACACAGGCACTGTAACCTGGGACACCTGCCCCCAGTTACCTCTTGGGTGGAAGTCACTTCCATCCCCCTGGCTCCCAGCATGGCCACAGCTATTTAACATATCCATGCAGCCAGGTAAAGGCTATAGATGTGTTAAATGACCATGCCAGAGGTTAGCTGCAAAGCTGTTGCTGTACAAAACAGCTCTCAATGGCCCTGCTCCATGTGTCCCTCCCCCCAGCTCACATCTGTTGGGGGGCAGTGAGGACACCTTGTATGTCTTTCTAATATTTCCTGGACACCTCGAGTTCTGGACCCCATTCCAAACCCTGTCTGGGCCCCCCTCTCGGCTGCACCCCGTTACACTGCACTGCATTGCCGCTCCCGCTTCGCACTCAGACGCCCACGCTCTCAGGTGAGGGGCCCACCTGATGACCTTTTTTAACCTCCTTAAAGGTCCTGTCTTCAAACAGAGTCACATTAGGAGGTAGGGTCCCAACGTGTGCGTTTGGGAGGGATGCAATGTACCCCTAACACCCCCTCGGGCGTGATAATGTATAAATGGGTTTGTTTCTGGGCGTAGAAAGGGCGCACATATTTCTCAATATGAACACGGAGATTGTCGAGGCAATGGCACATGCAGGTGAAGAAAACAGTGGCAACAAATCCTCGAGCAGGAAATTATTACCTAGATGTCAGCTGGAGTCTCTCTGCTTCTTAAAACTGGGACGAGATTTGTTCAAGTCCCTATGCCAGCCTGGCAGGAGAATATAACGCCCTCCCGAGATTCCTCCAAGCTCCCAGGAAGTGTCCATGTTCACTGTCACCCAGTCCCCGGTGTGCAGACTGCAGAGAGTTTTGCTGTCCACCATCAGGTTTAGCCTTGGGTGTCCCCTGTGCACGAGCTCACACACGAGCCTGTCACCGCTTCGTGGATGTGAACAGACACGAGGCCCCTGAGTCAGTGACGAAGGGCTTTATGACTCAGATCGCAGTGGTCTGTCTGTTCCCTTTGTGCCCTCACAAGGGGGCTACGTACAGGGGTCCGTGTGGACGGGGGCCGGTTGCAGGAGAGGGGCATTGCACTTGGGGGGCCTGCTATTTCTGTCCCAGCAAGAAGTTGCAGCCTGTGCTTTGTCCTGGAGGGCGGGGCTGTCGTCCCCGGAGGCCACGGGCTGCAAACACACTCTGAGGAGTGCGGGTCGGATGGCGCTTCCCCTGAAAGATAGCTCTATGTCCTGGCCCCCCAAATCTGTGAATGTTGCCTCTTTGGAGAGAGGGTCTCTGGAGCTCTCCCCTGGAGACTGTCGGGAGACACGTGGATGCTGAAGGTGCCTCCGGGCAGGTTCAGAGCTGCGTGCAGACTGCGTTGTTGGAAACTGGAGGAGAGGGGTCCTCCCTGCAACATGGCAGAACCTGTGGCCTCACTGCGTCCCCCAGACGCGTGGGAAGGGGAGCTTTCAAGCAATGAACTTAGATATTTGGCAGATTTCCAAGCAAAATATTCACATTTTTTCTTGCCGAATGTAGTAAAACGCAGGAGGAGATAAAAGATGGTAGTTAATGACTAGAGAAATGTCAACCTATCCGAATTACAAAAAAATTCTCAAAGCACATATAAAAAGACTCGCGTTGGGCAGCTGTGTGCCAAGGAGGCCGGGTGTGCGTGGACAGCGTTTTGCTGCTCAGCCTGGGCCTGGCGTTCCTGGGGTGCGAGGCCCCGTCTCAGCGAAGCCAGAAGGGGATGTGGCATCACGTCCAGGGGAAGCCTGGGGAGACCTTTCCAGTCTAGCGGCACAGACCCCACCACACACCCAGCAGACCCACAGGGTGTCCAGGATTGTGTTCTCCACAAAAATGCGGCCGCCTTGGGCTGAAGGGTCAGGCCTTGACTCCTCAAGGCATCTGACCGCAGAGTTTATACTATACGTGTGTTAGATTATATACATACACGGGTACATATGTATATAGACATATATATACACACACTATATGCACACTTACATCATAACATAAAATTTAACCGCCAGACAGTACAATGAACTCCATCATGATTTCGTGTTACTACCGAGTCCACCAGGGTCTAATTAACGGGGGGGAATGATGTCGTCATACAGTCACGTGGTCTATCAGCACTAGACATTACGAAGTGGGGGAGCGGTTCGACATCATCTCCCCAAGCTTTACCAGTGCTAGATGACTGGGTAGCACATTTCAGTAGCACTTTTGAGTCTGCAAAATGGGGGGATGTCCAACTGCTCATTGGAAATGCCAGTTTTCTGAATGTGTGGTTTAGTTCTTTGCTTAACTGGCTACTGTATTTGCTTATTTTATTCTTTGCATTTTCTTTCCTCAAAAGTAAAAATGATCACTCTGGGTTGGTAGTTGGTGAGAGTGTCGTCCTGATACACCAAGGTTGTGGGTTCCATCTCCAGTCACGGAGATGTATACAGGAAGCAACCCATAAATGCACGAGTAATGGAACGGCCAGTCGGTGTCTGTCTCAGAAACCTCAGAGTGAGCAGTGGTGCGTCGGAGCAGCGGGTGGCGGGGAGAGAGTTTGCAAATGGAGCCCCGTGTGGGTTTTGCCACTGGGTATTTCAGAAGTGTCTTTTGTTCTCCTCCCGGGAGCTTCTAAACACAAATGGGCTGTGCCCTCTGGAGGGAACAGATCCCGGGTAGAATGAATGACTTGGGCACCTAGAGAGGGAACTCCTCTGCACCCCCAAAGCGTCTTCAGTGGCACCGGTGCCCGCGCTGCTTCTTCAGAGCCCTGGACAGCGCTGGCTCCAGAGGGCAGCACAGCGGAGGGCGGCCCTGTGCCCTGTGCTTTCTGTGCCCGACTCATGGACTCAGGGCCCAGCGTGCTCGCCTGGTGCTGGCCAGAGAGCGGGCTGCTCCCTTGTGAAAACACATGCGGATGTGACTTTGATGTTAGGTTTTAAGGAGTTCACTCTGCCTTCGGTGTCTACAAAGCTAAACAATGACCCCAGTGGCAGGAAGCAGAGTCCTGTCTTGACAGAACATCAAGATCCAGGCACCCTTCTTTTTCCTGATGAAGGACAAGGTGAAGGGCAGGGTGGAGGGCAGCCAGCATTAATGGTCTTGGTACAGAGGGAGCCAGAATCACTGGACTCTCTCTCCCCTCCTTCTTTTTCCATAGAAACACGTTTTTTTCAAGAACGTCTATCAAGGCTGTACCCTTCTTGGTCTTTGTTTTTCAAAATGATCATGTCTAGAACGTTCAGAAAGAAGCGTCCAAAACACAACCACTTCCGACAGTTCCCACTGGTGCCGAAGGGCAGTGTCCACTCTCCCTGCACTGTCCCCTCCAACAATGATCCCTGCTGCAAGGAAGTCACGCGGCCGTCCAGGCAAGGGGACTCCGCTCCCTTCTCTGACAGGGTCAGCTGCACTCATTCAACAGACATTTCACAGTGGCCACGCCAGGGTCTTCCAAAGACTCAGCAGAGATAGAAGTCGCCCCCAGATCCTCCCCTCCGGAGGCTCACAGTCTTTTCCTGTCAGAAAGGACCAATAGGACTGAAGCTGCTTAAAAATCCCTTGAAGTGATAAGGGGGTTGAAAAGTTCAAGCTCTTGAAAACCAGACAGCCTGTGCTCAAATCCTCTTGTCGCTCTTATCACTCTCTCTCCGCTTTTGAGGCCTGCTTTCCCCAGGGACCTCAGGCTTCTCTGGGAGGCAGTTGAGACATTAGCAGGCACTTCTTAGAGCTGCTCCTGAGGGTGATGAGACCATGAGTCACACATGTCAAGTAGGAAGAGACTGGAGCAGGAGGAAGCATGGTGCCGGCCCCAAATAAGTGCCCCAAAGCCGTAGTTACTATTTCTTGGTAAACTGATAAGAACGGTGGTGTCAGATAAAAGTGGGCATTGAGAATTATATTCAGAATGTACATTCCCACATTGTAAATATGGGCTGTGTTTTAATTTTTCTTACCAGGCATTTTAAACTGCTGTACAGCCTACAACGTCGGTCTCCCGGGAGCGAAGATATTCTCCGGTCCTTCGAGCGAACAGTTCGGTTACACGGTGCAGCAGTTTATCAACCCGACGGGCAGCTGGTAAGGGTGTTCTCTTCTCCGTTGTTGCAATGAAAACACTACGTGTGTTTAATATTGGACTGCAATCGCTTGTTGAAATGGGAACATGAATATATTATTGATGAGTAGGCCACAGATATTTTTAAATGGAGGATTTTTCTTTGAGAGTTGATAGATGGATAATTCATGGGATGGCGTAGTCCTACTTTCTAAAAACCTGAATAGAAAAGTTTCTCTAAATAGTCCATAGCCAACTTCATAACCCCAGTTCTGACCATGCAATAGATGGTAGATGTATCTCTATTTCCTTGTCTGTGAACTGGCAACTTCTGAGCTTCACGAGTGTTCAGCTGGCCGGTGGTGCCACTGGGCCATGTCTAAGTGACAGAATTGCTCTCTAAGTTTTCTCCTCCCACACGGCTCCGTCTGCTGGTTTCATTCTAAGTCAGCCTTCCCTGCCTCCCGCGGTGAAGGTCCTCCCAGACACGTATGCAGAGGTCGCAGGGTACCTCTCTCCGTGTATTCGACATCTTTCAGTTTTTTCCCAGAAGTGCCCTATGTTTTTCAGGGCTGAGTAGTGGCCACATTTATAAACCATGGTTACAGCGCATTTATAGGGGCTGGGCAACTGAGGTGTATAGTTGTGCGTGTGCAAAACAGTTTACTCTTGCATTATTATTTATTAGTTGTTGTGTTACTTCCCATGTGAAAAATCTAAACCTCCTCCTGCGTTGCCCCATACACAACCGGCTTCATGGGTATGGAAATACACGCTCCCATTGCTGGTTTATTTCGCATGAATTATGACAATAAACCCAGATTGCTCTGAAAGGTGTCAGTGGGCAGGAAGGCTACAGGTCCTCTTCTGCCAGAGCGGGTGCCCCCTGGTGGACAGGACCCTGCCAGTGCAGCCTCACCCCCTGTAGCAGGGGCAGCTCCAGACTTACCTGGACCTTCAAATCCTGGGTCCTCTACCGCTCTTGGCAGTGACTGAGTGGGCTTGTCAAGTAAGGGCTGTAATGTATAGCCTGTGTTTCCCTAGGTGAACTTATGTTTGATGTTCTAACAAAATAAATTCAAAGAAACAGAATACAGATTATCCCCATTTCAGAGCATGGCTGTCTGTGATGGGGGACCAAAGGCACACTGTTACCCTTGGAGAGGGCAGTGTGTGTGAAGGGCATTTGTCAGTCGTCCCGAAGGACGAGAGCAGTTGGGATGTGATCATTTGGGATGTGAGACAAAGAGAAAGAGAATCTCACCAGCTGATGAGACTGAAGACCCTTGACTCCCCCCTTCCTCTCCTCTCCCCCGTGTCCCATCCAGGAGCCAGTCCCGTCGACCCGACCACCAAAATAAATAGGATAGCAGCAGGTTTGTCACTGAGAGCCTTGCAAGTACCGTGGTGGCAGCTTCTCAACCCCCTCCTGCCACCCTTCTAACCCCTCTTTACTCTCTTCTCCGTAGCCAGGGCAAACTCTTTAAGGCGATCCCAATATTGTTGCTCCCTAGATTAAACCCCTCCCGGTGGCTGTCCACAGCAAGTGGAATGAGCTCACATTCCTTAAAGGACGCTTCTCGGGCTGGTCTCCATTGGCCACTCCTGTCTCCTGTTTGACACCTTCGCCCTTGTTCCTGGAGCTCCCAGAATGCTGGCTCTTGTCCTGAGCACACCAAGGTCATTCCTGCTCGAAGCTTCTGCACGTGTTTCTGTCCTGGAAGGAAGGGTCTGCCCAAGGCATCCCCGAGGCTGGCCGGTTCGTGTCTTGGTCTCAGCCCCGGGGTCTCCTGTCCATGTGAACAAGCGCTCACCACCCCCCTCGTCACTCTGCAGCGCTTTACGCCGATGGAATTTCTGTAGAGCCGTCGCCACTCCCTGAAACAGTCTTTACGTCCTTAGCTGCTCCTGATGTCTCTTCTTCCCAGCCTCTGGGTAGAGGGACACTGTCTTGTTCACTCTTGTGTCCTCCAAACCGCACCCACAGTGCCATCTGGCGTAGAGTGGGGGACCAATAATCATTTGTTGAGTGACCGAGGGGAAGTCCCATTTCCAAATGATTCACCTGAGGAACACTACCAAGTGCGCTCCGGAGAGAGGCAGGTGCAGGAGCTGAACTAGACCTTCAGACGCACCGTGATGGTCTGCTCGCTGGGCGCGGCCTGGCCGGGGACAGCCTGCCACTGCTCGAGGCTATTCTTCGTAAGAAACGGTTTTCCCGGGACAGGCTCGGATTAGAGGTGGTGAGCCTGTCAAGGATGCCAGGAAGCAACCGCGGGCCACATTGCACGTGGGAAGTTAGGTGAGACCAGAAGGGACGACAAGGTGACGGGGAGCCAGCAGGCAGAGGCCTGGGAAGAGTGAGAGGCACCCCACCCCCTTGCTGTCTTCGGGGTTCCCTCAATCATGCAGAACTTTGTTCAAAGGCCATTGCATTAGTGGTTTGTGGCGAGATTCCGGTGTGCGTGAGGTCAAGTCCAGGGACACTAGACATTCCTAAGTCGCACGTTGGCCTCGTCAGGACATCCCTGAGAGTCGTGTAAATATAAGACAGTGGCGGTCAGGAACCGAGGCACCACGGTTAAGTGACTGGCGGGCTCCTGCTTGCACCCCCAGGGCAGAGCTTTCTGGCAGGGTGCAGAGTGGGGCTTGCCATGACCTTCCTCCCTAAAGCCTGGGCTCGGCCACCAGCCGGGGTGAGCTCCCCCACCCCACGAGAGGGAGGGGAAGGCGAGTCCCTGTCTGACCCGAGGGCGAGGCCCTTTGGGGGTGTCAGCGGGCAGGAAAGAACAAGCGCTGTTCCTCTCTGACCACTCATTTGGGAGCTGCTGTTTCGGTGGCATTTCCCTCCACGCGCTCTGACCGGCCTCACACTGTGTTCTTTGGGGCGCAGCTCCATCTCCCGGCCCTTGTGTCTCCCAACAGCTGGCCTCCCGCTCCGGTCTGCGTTCTCTAAAATTCACACTTCGCTCTCTTTCAAGTGCCACTGTAGCTGTTTCACACGGCCCCTGTTTCCGAGAATGTATAGGCACATTCGACGTTGGTACCCACAACACGTTAGCAAAATGTGTTACTGGTTTTGTGTACTGTACTTTTTTTACCCGGAGGAATTTGCTCTGAAAATAGTGGCAGTGAGGCTCTGAGAATTCTGGGGCCTTCTGAAGGGTCCCCGACAAGTTCCAAAGCAGGTTCCCTCCCAAGCAGAGCGCCAGTGCACCCCTTGGTCCGTAGGTGCCGCTGTGGTCTGCTCCCCCCGGCCGTGTGGCCTAAGGGTCGTGGGGCCATCTGCCCGGGAGTCGCCCCTCATTTCACACACAGACTGTTCCAGGCAGACGATGCAATCCTCATCACACACACGGCACAGGGGGTGGGCGTGTGTGCAGCCCTTGCCCGGAAGCTGGTGGGGCGCACGCTGGGTCTGTTCGTCTTACCCGGAGGCCTGTCCCAGGGCCACGCCAAGCTCATCTCATGACTCAAGTACACGAGAACGTCATAGTCACTTGTGTGACGAGGGTTGTCTGGGAACAAGGGGGGTATTTCCAGTGGCAGAATTGTGGGTTTTTGTTCCAGTGACAACCATAAGGTCTATATTTAGAGCTTATTCACAGAGCTAAATTCATAGATTGTCTGTAAGAGAATTGTGGGTAGATGATAAAGAAGAAACATTCATTTCCATTCCAGACCTTAGAGATTGTCCTGCAGTGTGCTGGTAAAAACAATACCTGGAATTTATCGAGTATTTATTCTTCACCAAACACGTAATACTCATAGTCCTTCTGAGAGCTTCGTAAAGTCATTACCCTGTTTGCAAACAAGGGGACTGAGACTTAAACAGTTTGTCTAAGATTACAGAGCTAGTAAACAATAAATCTAGGGCAGCTTAATGCAAAACAGATAAAATGTGCTAAGTGTACACTGTTTTTATTAGTATCCAAGGAGGAGAGTGACTGGATGTAATTGGCATGTATAAATAATGTTTAAATATAGTTTTCATATCGACTTCATGAAGTCAGATCGATGTCAGTATTTTGAATTGAAAGTTCTGTCGCAGAAAGCGTGACCCGGCCTGGGCACAGGTGAGAGTTAGCATCTGTCTTCTCGTTCTCTCCTGGAGAGAGGTTTGTCCTCTAAGTCTCAGGCCGGAGCATGAGGGTTTACCCTCAGCTTCACCAGGAAGAGCCAAGGGACTCCGGCAAAGTCACAGCACCTCCCTGGGGCACAGCGTCCCCCCTACCAAACCGGAGAGTTTGGGGTGCCTTGGGAGAGGATAAAAGCAAAGCACTCCGGAGGTGGTGCCCAGGCGAGGTGTTCTCTGAGAGCCAGGCACTAGCAACGCGGGAGAACGCCAGGATTCCCCGTAACTGGCTCTGCCCTGCATGTCCCCGCTCCGCTCCCCCAGTCTCTCATCTGACCTGGATGAGCTTCGGTTCGCTTCTTCTTGTCCTTGGCCATGAACTCTATTCCAGTCCCTTTTCTGCAGCAGCCATGCCGTTGTCTTTGAAATATCAGCCAGAATCCTCTGTTATGTTTCTTTGTAAATGTGACATCTTCTTGACATTCGGTTGTCAGGCGGGGCCACATTTCACATGCTTGCTGCGCTTATTACAGGGTTTGCATGCATTTTAAATCCTGGACATATGAATTCCATTTTGCTCTTTCATTTCACTTTAGCTGTTGTCCCTAACTTTTAACTTAGTCCAATGTTTTTATCATGTAAAAGTATTAGAAATCTGGCTGCAAGATATTGCCATGGAATGAATAGGTGTGTCTTCCACCAACAGCAACTTTCCCTGGTCCAGCAGCAGGGGCAGGATAAGTGGAACCAGGAGCCTTCCTGCCCCCGCGGACCACCGCGGTGTTGACTCAGCTACATCCGTCACATCGTAGTTGTCTTTTTTCCCACTAAGTGAAAATAGTCTTTGTGGTTACATTGTTTCCAGGGCTTGTGTTGTTCCTCATCACTAAAAGTCCGCAGTAGAAAGGGCACGTTACACGTTCCCTGCTCTGCCCCGCTTCTCCGGGC